CAGCAGGAAAATATTGCAATAGGGAGGAACAAATGCTTGGATAGTGCATCTATTGTCTGAACTGTATGGCGACTCTTGTGTCTTAACTTCGACTGGCAACTTGAAGGGATCCTTCCAAAATAGTTGACTGCATTATGCCTTTGTTACACCTTCATCAGAGACAAATTCATTTCTTTGAAGGCTTCTCAGATCCTGCTTAATGTCCAGCTATTGGCACCTCAGCAGATCATTCACTGGTATCCTCTTTATGGGCTGATTTATGCAGTCAGAGTACTAGAACTGGATTGTAATTCCGTTCACCTCATCAGTAATTCAGCTAAAACTTTACCAACTTCAAAGGCCAATAACAGCTACAGTTACTTAAACAAACACTGTAGGACACTGTAACACATGTCATCTATTAAATGTCAATGTTACAGTGTTTCTTAAAGACTACACCAACACAGTCCCTAATTACAAGCATTTGATTCGAACACTTACAACTGGACCAGCAAGGGAGAGTCTAGCCATCCGGTACTGGTTATCTCCAATAGATCCTAGTCTCATTAACAAAGAACCCCTCTCCCTTGCTCTGATTTATTGCCCTCCTCTCCCCAAGTTTCTCATTGCATTGTCATCTTTTCAGTTCCAAAAACTGAGCAAATCTAACATGCAATTCCCTGACATTGCCTAGTTTATTGTTCCCAAAACACAAAACCTCCTTATTTGTTTATCCCTGGGTTACCCTCGGTGGGTATTTCTAGACATACTGGAGCCAAACGATTGGCTTACCAATCTTTTTGTTATCTACCACCTCTCCTCCTAAGTTAACGTATCTGGAGTAGCTACTTTCCTTTGTCTGATGCAAGAGTGATCAACCTGGCAGCCTCTGTGTGCGGCCCATGGCAGAGCAGGGAGGGGACGGGCGGCACAGTGGCAGATAAGGCAGGAAGCAGAAAGCAGAGCAGCAGATCAGGCAGTGAAAAGGGATCAGAGTGGCACATGGGGAGGTATGGGGCTAATTT